CGGCCGAGCTCTGCCCCACGGCGGCGGCCCGCTTGCCCGGCCCGGCAGCCTCTGGCCCCTTGTGGACGTGCTGGAGGGCGCGAGGGGAAGGAGCCGGCGGCGCGGGGCGAGCACTTACAGCGGGTCCTGACGCCGGCTCTGCCGGGCGGCCTTAATCCTGGGCGCGGGAGAGACGTCTGCCCCCACCCCTGCACCCGGGCTCCTGGGCTCCCGTCACAAAGTAAGTCCCCCTGGCTCCCCGGCCGCTCTGCGCCTCTCTGCTCGCCTGCGCCACATGGAGAGGGAGCAGGAGGCCGATCCCCGCCGACTGACTCCCATTCACTGCGGCCATTCACTTTATGGAAGGCAGCCGGCGCCCCCAGCCAGCTGCTCCCCGGCTCCGCACGCTCAGCCCGCCCTCTGCCCAGCTGCGAGTCCCGGGGCTGGCCCCACCCCGCTCCAGCTGTGAGCCCCTCGGCGCCGCCCCGCCGGCACAGGGCCCGCGCCTCGCCCGGCCGATTTGCATCCCGAGGCCCTCCCCATGCACTTGCCTGGTCGGGTGGAGAAACCCCTGCCCCTCTCCTTTTCTCTCCGCCTATTACAGCTGCTCGAGCTTCAGCGCTCCGAGGCGCTCGGGGCGGTGTTAGGCCGCCCAGAGCGGGGCTCGTGCCCGCCTCCAGCCAGGCAGCCCAGCACATGGGAAGCCGCACCTCTCCCCCACTCTGCTCCCTCCTGCTAGCCGGTGCCCCAGTGCGGATGGTGCCTCTCCATTCCACCCCCAGGGCCTTAGCAGCGGGAAGCCCCTGCTGGTCAGCTGGTGGACTTTGCTAAACAAGCCATTCTCCTTCTTGGGCCTTTGGGGTACTCTGATGATTCAGCAGGTGAGATACTGCAGTGTGTGCAGCTTTATAAATACCTTGGGAAGCCAGGACGGATTCCATGCTGTACAACCAAACACGGGTCTCACTTCAGTTGACAAGTGCCCTCATCATAGTGAGAGCCCACTAGCATGGTGCCCTACCATCTAGTTTCTAGATTATCATTTACACTTTGATCTTTGCCTCTGCCTTTGCGGCTCTCCTTTCCCCCTTAGGCATTCACTTCAATGATAGTTTATAAAGAGCTTTGAGATCTAGTGACAGAGAGCTCATCTACCCTAGCACCTGTGTTGAGCGTTTTTATTTCCATCTTTCAGCCAGGGACACAAGGCATAGCTGCTGGGGAAAGCAAGTGACACAGTGAGCAATCTGTTGGTTGTACAGGTGGAATGTTTTTGATTGCCAAGCTGGAGGTTAATACTACAATAATACTGTACTTCTGTTGTTCATACATGTCACTTTTCCAAGGCTAGAGCCAGTTATTCCAGTATACAGGATATAGTCTAGTTTAGTCATGCACATCCTGTCAACCTAATACCCTCTGTAGCTTTAGGAACAAATTCTTCTCCCACTAAACTCCATGATCAAGCTTTCATTCACTTTAGTGTTGCACAATCAGACCTTACTCGAGTGTGGTACTGTATTGCTCTCCATTTCCTGTCCAGAAGTGCACTGTTAGGCCCCAGTCCTGCAAATGTTTGCACATCAGTGTGTAACTTTTGTCATAGCAGTAGTCCCACTAACTCAAATGCATAGAATCAAGCAGGTGGGGAAGTGGTATAGAGTGGTGTTTTTGCTGTTATGTTCCAGTCTGGAGCGTATTGCATGGTAGGGTTTATCACTGGAAGGTGTCTGTGGGCCTAGATGGGTCAAATACTTATTTTTCCATTCAGATTTCCTTGAGGTCATTTCTATGTCAAACTTTCCTGAGATTTATGATGGCAAAGGTCACCCTCAAGCTCTCCCACTGATATGTTTTAGAGATTAGGAAGTAGTATTGTGAGAATAGGAATGAATTTAATATTGTGTAATTTATGAGTTGTATTTAGAGAGTCTGTTAAATGCATAACATGACATATGGATATGTATTGGAATATGAATATGCCAAGAGCAGGTATGCTAAAAGGACTTAGATTTTATGGGTTAAGTTCAATACCATGCACAAACAGATGTATCCCACACATAATAGTGGGCAACCCATGAAATTATCATCACATTGACTTTATCATTGGAAGCATGTGTTGTTAACGTAAACCTGAGCCCTCGGTTCAATTGTTTGCCCTTTGCAGAATTCAAAACAAGAACCAATAGAGAAGGCAATACACTGAATCACTCTTTTTCTTCTCAAATACCAACTTATCTTTACATATACCAGCCCCAATTTTGAGAAGAACAGTAGCATTACCACTGTATCTGTGATACTTTGTTACCACATCTCATGGGAAAACTCAATTTCATAGGTAAGGTTTGAGGTAACAGAGGGAACTTCATACGTAAGAGACACCCTTGGCGTGCCCACCTTTGGGAAAATTAATGAACTATACATCTTCTCCCTTGGGGGAGGTATTCTGCTTGGTGCATAGAGATGAGCTAGACTGGGGACTCATACACAAATTTCATAGACATTAGGGCCGGAAGGGACCTTGCGAGATCATCAGGGACAGGAAGTCAGCTGGGGTCAAATCACTCCAGGAAGATAAGCCTCTAAGCATTTCTTAAAGGTATGCAGAGTAGGTGCTTGCATCACTTCTGCACTTTTTAAAATGTGTGGACCACACTGGCACTGGAGATAGTAAAAAGAGGAATTGTCCACAGGACAACCAGTCACTTCCTTTTTTGTAATGGCATTGTGCCCCTGCAGAAAACACAGTAACAAATGAAAAAAAAACACCTAAAGGAATAAAGGTATTTTGGCTATTTACATTTAGCAGCTAGAACTGGGAACCAGCATCAGAGCTTGATAGACCACTGGCAGGTGCTTTGTAGACCATCATTTTGAGAACTGTTGGATGAGATGATCCTCAGACCTGAACTGGTCCAAACTCTAAGTAACCGCAGGACTGGGTCTCGTAGGAATTTCTCTGGAATGTTTCATGGTGTGTCCTTTGCCACTGATTTGAAAATACCGTGTAGCAGTTTCAGACTGGCTCCAAACAAGCCACTTCAATAGAAGAGCTTTCCCTCTTGGTGAAGAGTTCCATTGTACCAGAGACCATCGTCTTCATCCCACAGTTGCAGTTCATCTTTTAGATATCCTGGGCCCAAGACCCAGAGCGCCTGCAACCTTGCATGTGATTCAGTATTGTATGGAGAGCCAGAGCAAGGAATGGAGAACAAGTGTGAGGCACCTGCAGTAGGCTGTGTCGCTGAGGAGGCCTGCTGCAGCATTTTGAAGTGGTTACTTATGTCCCATGGGCTTTATGCCCATGTATGTCACACTGCCATGTTCCAGTCAAGAGATGATAGAAGCATAAATAACTAAGGCAGCTCATCATCTACCAGGTTGGGATGGTGTCTTCTAGTCATCCAAAGGTGATAGCAAGCATAATCTGTAGATGTTGCTTTGTGAGACTTTATTGACATCAAGGAATCCCAGAGCCCTCCTAATATATGGACTGAACTAACCATTTGTAGATGTGCAACTTCAAACAAAGAAGACAGTGAGATGTTTGCCAATTTGACAGACTACTTTATTTTGCTTACCAGCATCACCTATGACTGGCTGAGGTTCAGGTTCAACTAGTTGAACAGCATTGGAGAGCTGATTTCATCTAAGCACTGAGCCAACTTGGTGGCAATCATATACAGGGAAGGAAGGGTAGATAGAGCTGATGTTGTCTGCATCAGCTGGCACTTGAATCCACATTATTTGATCAGTTCACCTAGAGCAGGGATCAACAACATTTTTGGGCAGTGCTGAAAACACCCACAACTTCAACTTGTAAGATGTTGGTGTGCTGGGGTGGATGATGGGGGAGCCACGAGTGGCCCAATCCTTGCTGTTGCTGTGTAGCCCTGCCCCCTTCCCCGCTACCCATGCAGAGGCATGTGTGCCAAGCAAAATGCATTTGAGTGCTACACTCTGGCACCCGTGCTGGGGGGTTGCCTACCCTGACCTAGAGGCTGCATGTGGATGTTAGAAAGGACAAGAGACAATCCTCATGTGACTCTGTGAGGTGTCTAGTATTTGAAGGTGGAGTTTCCTATCTGGTGCATCCTTCTACAAAGAATTCAAACCATTTTTGTACATTCTTTTGTACATTGTGATTTTTTTATATCTCTTTCAGGTGAGAAAACACCATCTCCTGGATTACAGTATCACATGCTGAAGGGAGGTCCAGGAAAGTGATAATGGATGATTGTTTTTTTTTTTCTATTGACAGGTGATCATTCATCAAAAAAGCAATTGCCATTTCATATCCTGGCCTTCATGTAGCTTGTACCAGGTGTACAGTATCAGATTTCCTTAAACTAGCTTGTAGCTGCCATTTGTTCTCTGTGAAAAAATTAGGCGACTGTGGTGTCAATGCCTACACAGTCAGATGGGTCACAAATTGGCTGGAGGGCTGCACCCAGAGAGTGGTGGTGGATGGGTTGTTTTCGACCTGGAGGGATGTGGGCAGTGGGTTTCCCCAGGGCTCGGTCCTTGGGCCCGCACTGTTCAACATCTTCATCAGCAACTTGGACAAGGGGGTGAAAAGCACCTTGTTTAAGTTCACAGATGACACTAAGATGTGGAGAGAAGTGGGCATGTTAGAAGGGAGGGACAGGCTGCAACTAGACCTGGACAGGTTACAAGGGTGGGTGGATGAGAATAGGATGGGTTTTAATACAGAGAAGTGCAAGCTACTGCACCTGGGGAGAAGGAACCAGCAGCATACCTACAGGCTGGGGAACTCCCTTCTCATCAGCACAGTGGCAGAAAAGGATCTTGGAGTCCTGATTCCAAGATGAACATGAGCCACCAGTGTGAGGACATAGTCAGTAAGGCCGCACCTTGTCATGCATCCATAGATGCACCACGAGCAGGTCCAAGATCCTCCCCTTGTACGTGACATTGGTCAGGCTGCAGTTGGAGTACTGTGTCCAATTCTGGGCACCGCACTTCAGGAGGGATGTGGACA